ATTATATTAAATACATATTTCAGATCAAGAAAAACAAATAAAAGAAACAGTTTAAGAAACTGCAAATAATAAAAAATTCAGCTTCTTGTATAGCTGGTAGCATATCAGCTGAGCACTGAGCACAGATAACGCTTATCAATGTGTAAATATATATATTACTTAGATCGCTACTATTAAAACGTCTTATCATTCCAAACCGAGTCTTTGAATGCTGAGTGCCAGTTACAAAGATAATATGACGCGGCGTCGTCATCTTGACGGTGCAAATGAGTGTTTGAGCAATGAGAAAGAGAAAAGAACCTTAGCTCTTTTTCTCTCTCCTCCTTTGTCTGTGCTCTTCCGATACTATTTCCATAAAAAGCAATTGAACAGCGTGCTTCTCGTTCAGTTGAGATCAAGTCCTCAGGCAAAGATGAGCCGAGCTAAACTTCAGTTGGCTGCTTACGCAATTATTCTGCTCGTGTTGCCCTGCCGGCCAACAGATGGCGCCAACATCTTGGGCCTCTTCAGCACGTTCAGTCCATCCCATTTGGTGGTGCACATGGCGATGATGCGAGCCTTGGCCGATCGCGGACACAACGTGACCATTGTCTCGGCATTCAAGCCGAAGCTGGCGCCACATGAGAACATTACACTGATCATAGCGCCCATGAGGGAAGAGACCTTGGCGGAAGTTAATCAGTTCATGGAGAGCTCGACCAAGGACAAGGCATCGATGATTGCCACCTTCTACAGAATGCTGACAAAAACGGCCGTAATGCTGGACTGTCAATATGAATTCCTATTGCATCCCAATGTGCGGGCAATTTACGAGCGGCCGCAAACGAAATTTGATCTGCTGTTTCTCGGCTTCGTCTTCAATGATTACCAGCTGGGCGTGGCAGCCAAACTGGGCATACCCGCTGTCATCAGCTGGGTGGGCGTGCCATTCACGTTTATCGACGACGAGGTGGGCAACATCAACGATCCGGCCTATGTTCCCAATATTAATGTGGGCGTGGATAGCAGCCAACGTGCCATGTACTTTGGCCAGCGCCTGAAGAACTACTGCACCTGGGTAATCCTGAAGAGCCTCGCCATCATCTTGGATAGGCGCATGGTAAACTACTACAAGTGAGTGACAGTCCACTGATCCCATAGAGCAACAAAACTGAACTCTCTCTCTCCTTCAGCGGTGCCTTTGGAGCGGATCTGCAGATGCCCAGCTACTGGGAGGTTAGGCGAAACATCTCGCTGCTCTTCTACAATTACCACTCGCACAGCGAGGGTCCAATCCGTCCCACTGTGCCTCAGTCCATCGAAGTTGGCGGCGTGCAGATTAAAGAGCAGCCAGATCCATTGCCCGGCGAGCTGGCTGAGTTCTTGGATAATGCCAAAGACGGTGCCATCTTCTTCAGCCTGGGCACCAATGTCAAGAGCGGCTACTTCCAGCCCCATCTGATGGAGACCTTCTTCAAGGTACTCTCCAGCCTGCCGCTGCGCGTCATCTGGAAGTGGGATGATCTGCAGCATACGCCAGGCAATGCCTCGAACATCTACTATCACAACTGGCTGCCACAGGACGACATCCTGGCCCATCCCAACACCAAGCTGTTCATTACACACGCCGGCAAGGGCGGCATTGCCGAGTCTCAGTACCACGGTGTGCCCATGGTGGCTATGCCCATCTTCGGCGATCAGCCCAGCAATGCGGACAGCATGGTCTCTGCCGGCTTCGGACTGAGTGTGGACTGGGCCACGCTCACAGAGGCTTCGCTGGCGCAGACCCTCAACGAGGTGCTGCAGAATTCCTCATATCGCGAGAAGGTGCGTAGCTTTTCGGCTCTCTATCGCGATCGACCGCTCACCGCACGCCAATCGGTTGTCTATTGGACGGAGTATGTGTTGAGGCACAAGGGCGCCTACCACCTGCAGAATCCTGCACTGCATCTCCACTATGTCGCCCGTCACAATCTCGACGTCTATGCCTGTCTACTGATCCTACTCGCAATCTCTCTGACTATTTTAAAACTACTGCTGCGGTGCATTTGGCAACAACTGCGACCATTCGCACCCTCTAAAGTCAAGGTCAAGACACAATAGACACAGCCACATCTTGTTAATTCAACCGAATTAATCGACTGCACTCATTACGTATACGGCGCGTGTCGCGACAACCATCAAATTGGTCATTTAGATACACACAAATATATATATATATATAATCATTTATATGTATATATAGTTATATTCGTGTGTATGTAAGCAGCGCCATATAAGTATCAACAAGTTGCGAATACTCGTATTGACTATTAATAGGCGCTGATTGTCCATTCAACTGCCTCTCCCGCTCTTAGTTTACAGTTACACTGTTCGAAATGTCTTAGTAAAAAAAAATATTCGTTTCATAGAAACTTTGTCAATTACCTGTTCCACGGAACTTTCACATATATTATGTTATATATATTTATATAATACTCTGTTTTAGG